GTTAAAAGTATTATCTTAGGTTTCCAAGGTCGACATTTTAAATCCTTTTGGGGGTATGGCTTTATCAATTTCTTCAGTGGACGCTGAGATCTCTAGGAACTTAAACTCATCCTCAAACATCTCTACTTTTGTTTTCAACTTTTTATCCATGGCCTACATCCAAGCTTTCAAGTCTTTGTTTGGCTAGGATTTGGGATTTATTTGTTTGGATTTTTAGGTTGTGACATGTGTCAAGTTGTGGCTGGGGTAATGATGAACTAGAATGTTATGCACATCTTCTCTAGAGGCCAATGAAGCTTTTATCTCTTCATAGCTTGGTTGTCTTCCTGTGGCTCATCAACCATATGTAATTAGGTCAGGTACTTTCGAAGCTTGTGGTGGGGTTATAGTCTGCAACATTTGTTTAAGGGCCTATATTTGCTTAATTAAGGCTTGGAATTATTTCATGGTCAAACCTATTTATGATGGGATATGTCATTTTGAGTATTGACTATTATGTATTTCTGTTCTAGCCAGGATAGTTGTCTCTCATTTCTCTAATTTTTTTCCTTGGAGGCATCATTTCGTGCTCAGCTAGTAAATGAAAAGGGCCCCCTACCTAGCACGCCAAATATTTGTGTCAAGCTCTGATCTCAGGAGTACTCTTGGAAAAATAAAAGAGAAAGATGGTTAGAGGCAAAGACAGGGAGTGTTCCCTACGTTTGCACTCCAACATGCAAGTTAGAACAAGTGAGGTTGGAAAAAAAGTAATAAAAAGGATTAGCGGTAGGATAAACTTGCCTTAAAGGTGCCTAGACCTCATATTTATACATGAGCAATAGAGGACCATTAGGGGACAATAGGGACAATACCGAGCTGATGTAGCACTGGGTGTGTCAGACCAACCGACATGTCAAGAGGTCAGCACAATGTCAGAATTATTTTTAATTGTCTGCTGAAGGCTTTTAATAGAAAAAAAGACCACCATATCCTTTTGACCATTAAATGCCCCTAAAACAATCCAATCTCTATTTTTAATTTAAAACTTAAACTTTTTCAATTGTTGGCATGTCTACTCTTTCTCTCCCCACTCAAAACTAGCCTCACCACCATTGTCCACCTTCTCTCTTCTTCTTTTTTCTGTTTATAGTGATTTTTATGTATCTCTTCATTCTTTTTTTCATTTTTTGGATTCCAATTTCTTCAATTAACTAATTAATATTTTACTTGAAAATTTTGTCATAAGTTAAACAACAATCTTAGGGTTTATGTTGGGTGTCAAAATCTTGTTTAATCGTTCTACACAAGAACTACCAGATCTTCCTTCAATGACGCTTAAATCGCCCCAAAGAGGTGATCTTACTTCATGACTATTATTTTGAACATTGGCTTGTTGTAATGAAGCCTCCTAAACAGGATGCTAGTAGCCCAAGTTATGGGTAAGTATAATTCATTTCAGCCATTTTTATTGATTTATAATGAATTATTTTGCTGTTTATTTTATTATTTCATTTCTTAAGGTGGGTAGTTTAATTATTTGTTATGGAATGAATAAAAAAAATCTTAATAAGGATTGATTTTTCTTTTATATGGAGTTAAACTTTTAGTATTGTTTTACTAATATTTAATCAATTTTGGTTTTTAATTATTTATATTTACATTTTAACAACTTTTGAGGAAATAGAGCCTCGTTTATTCATATATTTGTTTTACTTCCAACCTTTTCTTGTTTGCTAATGAATACTGATGAAATAATTAGGCTGGAGATCAAACATAGTTTCATAGTTTTGTTTTATGATATATATTTTTCATGGATGTATTGCAAGCGTGAAACTAAAGGTGGTTGGGTTACTATCGAGTTAAGTTGCATTCTATCTTCCTTTCATTTTTAAGATTACAATCCTCATTTATTCTTCACTTTGAAAAGAGCTTTTGCTGTTGCATTTTTAGTATTAATGATTTAGAAACATTTAGATTTTATGGACTTGATAAGCCTAATTAGCATATTGGTGTTGTTGGACTAGGAAGGCTTGACCATGTGGCAGTGAAATTTGCCAAGGCTTTGGAGGTCAAAGTTGTAGTGATCAGCAATACAATAACTGCTCAACACCCTTTGTTGCTTTTGCTTGGGCTGCTGAAGGCTCATAAGAAGTATGTTCTTGGGTCTGCCAGAGAAACCACTTGAGTTACTAGCCTTTCCTTTACTCCAAGGTAATAATTAGAATCTATTAATTCTTAATATGTTTTTGTAAGAGTTAGATGATCAGATCTTTATAGATATATATTTAAACATTGACATTATTGACATTAAAACTAGTAGGTAGGTAGCTAGCCAATGGTAGTGGGATTGGAGGAATGAAAAAGACTCAAAAGATAGTCGATTTTGAAGCTAAACATAGAATAAAACCAGGATATGGATTTTCTACACCATGTTACCAACTATATGGATTTGTTGCACCATTAACCAAGAAACCAACTCAGTGGAATTATAAATTTTGAACTTTAGATTACATTAAGAATTGTTTTCACTCTATTAGGAATTTTAATTGTCTTAATATAATTTAAGACATTCTTTACTCATTTAGAAATTTTAATTATCCCAAAATATTTTAGGACAAACATATTGTAAATGACGGTATAATAAATATATTCTTTAATATATTAACGTTAATTTTCTTTTAAATGAGTTTTTTAGTCATGAAATTTGATTTAATTTTAAATTTCATTAATAGTAGATAATTAAATTATCACATCAAGACGAATGCCGTTGTTGTAATTATCTTTTACAACAATATTAGTCATTCATAAAGTTAAAAAAGTTGTTACTAAACATTTGTTTACTTTTTGTAATGATACAAATATTGTTGGGAAAAGATTATTTGCAACAATAATATTGGTTATTACAATTTCTTAAGTCATTGCAAAAAAAATTAGAAACAAAAAATTATTGTTGCATAAGAACTTTTAGTAACGATTATTGTCATTTTTAAACTAACTATTGCAATGATAAAATAATTGTTGTTAAAGTTATTTGCAGTGTAAAAATTTTTAGACAACCAAAATAGTGTTGTTATGTAAAAGATTTGGTAACCAAATATGCAGTTGCTAAAAAATAGTTTTGACAATCACATTAAGTTGTTATTTAAATATTATTTATTTAATAATGTCAAAAAATAGTTGCAAAAAATATTTTTAAAATGATTTTAAATATGATAAAAATCGCTACGTATAATTTTAACAACGAAGGTAAACACAACGACCTTACAATGACTTTTTTCATTGCAAAAAGGTTTTAACAACAATAAATTATCATTTTGCAACAACATTGAATGTTGCTAAAGCCATATTTTTAATTGATGTGAATATATTAGGGATTCACAATGATAAATTTTTTCGTTGTTAAAACAATAAAAAATATTAATTAAGCAATGGTAATAAAGAATTGTTACAAATATGATTAAATTTAAAAATAACATTTTTAGGCATTACGAATGTGATAGGGATTTGTAACAACAAATTTTTATTTTACGACTATTACCAAAAGTCATTACAAATCTGATAAGATTTCAAAATTATTATTTTTTTGTTGTTATGAATATATTAGATAATCGTAACAACCTTTTTTTTGTTATTGCATAAAATACTTAAAAATTTAATTAACCAACAACAATAAAAAATTGTTGCAAACATAATAGAATTATTTAACAACTTTTTTTTATTGTTTGCAATTTGATAAGAATTAGCAATGACAAAAATTATTATTATATAAAATATAAAAAAATTCAAATAAACAACGATAATAAAAACTCATTGCAAATATAATAAAATTTTGCAACAACAATTTTAAATGTTGACAATTGTGTTTGCTAAAACTAGTGTTTTGTGATATCGCCATTAATCAAATGGCTATGTTTTCAGATTGTACCCTTGAGTCTGCAAAACGAAAGTGTGATCGAGCAGCACAAAGGTACGGTACGGTATCTCTATTTGGCTTTTACATTCCTGTGTCCTGTTTGGAACCATTTTTGCTGCAGTTCCACCTCTTCCAGGGATGGATCTGATCTGATCATGTTGTATTGTCATTTTCGATATGCATTTCTGCGCATTTATACATCAATACATGTAGATTTATTTCACATATTCCAATCATGTTTTTGCAACATTATACAGGCAGAAGAGGCCAATCTGGCAGTGAAAGTGAGACGAGGATGCTGAGGGTCTCTATCGTATTCCAAGCATGTTGAATCAGTTGAGGTTTTCTGCAGCAGATGGTACTTGCATAGAGTACTTTACTCTTGCAGGAATTAGTTTTCAACTGAAACAACAAAGGATGCAAGAGAATGAAATGAGAACATGTAAATTTGCGCCGATAATTTTAAATACAGATTACTGTTAACGTGTAAATATTGAGAACAAAATGTATTCAAGAAGTAAATATGTCATTGGAACGACATTCATGCTTGTTCACCATCGATGAACGACCATTTGAAGTGTTTAGATAATGAATTATTTTCAAGTTAAATGGCATAGAAGGCGTTGAAAAGGTTCTCTAACCCACTACAATAGATCTTATTTTGCTCCCTTATTAGCGGCGGATGCACATTTATTATCGAAAATTTAAAAAAAAAATTATTTTTTGTACCTCTAAAATTTTTCATGGACAAATTTGATAAACTCAGACAATTTTTTTAATGTATATTATAAATAAGTACCTTAAAAATTTTCTGAATCCATTACTATTTCTTACATCTGCCATGACAAAACATGTTGTTATTCAATCCCTTTTGTGTAATTGAATAATTGTGCTTTATTTTACCCTCAATATTTAGGTTATCTTAAAATAAGAGAATTCTTTTGGAGTTAGTAGTTGTTGGAGATTCCTCTGATTTTTTAAATCAGGGAATTCAAAAGTCTATCAGAAGGAAAGTGATTCGATCATACTTAATTACATTAGCTAAGGATTGAGATGAGTGGTTGTGAATTATATTTAAATAACATTGGGTAAGGATTCAGATGAGAAAGAGACATAGTAGTTATTTCCTTTTAACCTGTAGAAATTTAAAACACAATTTTGGAACGGCAGAGTTGGTTCCAATATTTTTTTATGATTAGTTGCACCAATTGCTCCCACTCAAGCCGATGTGGTTCCGACGGTCAATTCAGTCTCGTCTTTTGCGTCTTCCTCAAGCATCATCATTTTCCTGGCCTTTGATACCTGCATTATCAACAGATAAACCTCAAAACTCAACTCAGCATCAAGCTGGTCTAATCCAACAAAATTGGAGGCGGATCGATCATCAATATAAATTAGAAAGGATTAAAGTGACGAAAAGTTGTAGACTGGAAACCTGTTTCTGCCAATCTATGAAGAGTGTTATGGTGCCTAGTATAATTACTTGAAAAGCAGTCCCAGTTATCAATCCAATCAAGAGGCCCTTTACTTTGAAATGTAGAACAAAAGCCAGTACGGCACCCAATGGGGCTCCAACTAGATAATATGCCCCTAGGTTCACAAAGGCTGCAGTATTCTGCCACCCACATCCTCTAGCGACTCCTGCAGAAAAACAGACAAATCATTTATTAAGTCTGACAATGTAAAATATTATATAAAAATAATATAAAAAATATTAATAAAAAATTTTAATAAATTTAATAAAATTTAAAAATATATATTTTATATTTTTATATTAATATAAATTATAATATTTCATTTTTATATAAGATATAATATAAATACAGGAATCGCGAATATTTTACCACAAATCCAAATGTTCAAGTATTTACGCAATACTGGTGGGAATTTGAAGGGAGGTGATTGCCCAAGTCTTTTGGCAGTTACACAACAGGAAGAGGAACCATTCGTTCCACTTCAATTACATGACAGAAGCAAACGAGACTAACCTGAAAGCACTGCTTGTAAGCCGTCCAGAACTACTGAAATACACATAATGGGAACCATATCTGCCACATTATTCACTACTTCATTTTCGCTGCTGAATGCATATCCCAATATGTGGCGACAAAAGAAGAGAGTTGTGCTTACAATAACTGCCTCCACCACTGCAATAACCATTACCATCCAGACGGCCAATTTGGCTGCTTGTGGGTTGCCAGCACCCAATTCATTTGCAACTCGAGTGCTACAAAATGAACGAAAATGATTCTCTCACTGCAAATTAGGATCTATATATTGAATTTAATCACGCGCTGTGGTCTGGAAAACAGGTTCAAATTGATATGAAAACAAACCTTGTAGTTGCTCCAATACCATAAGGTATGAAATAGTGCAAATAAGTAATTTGAAAGCTGCACAAAAGTCATATTGACAACCAGAAATTAGAAAAAAAAAACAGAATTCTAATCCATGGAAGTATTTGAAAGAAGAATACCATATAGAAAGCACTGAAGCCTCCAGTTTAGGATTTTGTAGAAGTCCAGACAGAAAAATTAGAACCTCAGATGCCCACCATTCAAGGCTGCAACGATTGACAAATAGAAGGTAATTAGAAACCAAACTATATATATGGAAGAAAAACTGCTAGGGAAATAGAAATGTAAGAAAAACAGAGAAAGAAAAGGAAAAAAAATAAAGTATACCAAACCATTGCAGCTGACGGAACAGCAAAGCGGAAAAAAACCCTGGCGCCCTGTAAGACTTCTTTGGAGAATGCGGCACGAGTTTTATCACATTTTGAGGAATATTTCATATAAAACCCAAGCAATATCACATTCAACCAATAAGATGAACCGAGTGAAACTGCTGCTCCAATGGTGCCCAACCCCGATTTGAATACTAGTGTCCAACAGAAAAGTATGTGAAAACAAAAAGCTGCAAGTGAACTAAACAACATGGGAAGAATCAAAGTTTGGGTCTGGAAATATCGAATTAATGCTTGAAGTATAGCATATGCAAATAGGGCAGGGATGAGAGTAAGTGCGTATTTGTAAGCCACATGTGAGATTGAAGGGTCTTGGCCGATGAGGATCAGTATTTTCTCCGTGAAAGCCCAAAGGATAGATATGGGAATACAAACAAGTATAAGATTGATGATGGCGCAATAAGTATATGTTCCAAGCTTCTGATATTGCTCTGCTCCATATGCTTGTCCACATAGAGTTTCCAATGCACCAGCCATTCCAAACTGCTTGATAAAGACAGAAGCCAGTCAACAAGTATTTTTCCAATGAAGCTCACAAACTTACTTGTGAACCTAAGAGCTGAAATTTGCTCTAATTTTATGCATTTTACTCTGCCAGGCTCAATTTATTCAAATAGAGCAACATTAATTTTCTATCCGTGGGAACTAAAGAATGAATTTTGCCAGATTTTAAAGACTTTACCAGGAAACAGAAGCCAGTAACAATTGCGAAAGAAGTGGCTATGGATACTCCGGAAAGTGAAAGTTCATCGAGATGCCCAACCATCATTACTGACACAACATGCAAAAGCTGCAGCAACACCGTGACTGCAACCATTGGCGCTGCTATGCCGCCAACTTTCTTCAGCTCCTTCAAAGACACAATCCATTTCTCATCCATTTCCAGTCTTTTGGATTTCCTTCTGAGACAGGTTTCCTCCTATAATGGAGTAGGAAGACCAAAAGAAAGAATGATAAGACGTCTAGCAGTTAGCACGGCTTTTTATTAAAATTCCACCAGTATATTTTGAAAGATGGAACTTTATTTTGGTCCTGTAAAACTGTTGTTGGATTTATTAACTTAAAGAAAGGTAATGCTGTTTCACTTTCCACATTTGCTTATCTTTGAGGGTGTAGCTGTGGGCGAAGGTGGCTGGTGGGGGTGTTGATGACGTCAGTGAAAGACACGAGACAGACGCATTCGCACTTCCACATAATTAATATCAGAGTACAACAATTGATCTCTCATATCTCCTGACTCCTGACTCTGTGTCGTGAGCCAACCTTTATAAAGTCATGATCGAAATTTAAGTTGTCATGAACCACTTATGTATAGGATCATAGTCGGGTAGATTCTTGTGTTAAAAAAAGTGTCCTTATTTTAAACATTGTAACGGTTACTGATAGCATAGCTCTAAAATCTCTAAAGTTTTTTAGGGGGTAAGCCGGCAAGGTATTATTGGACTGTCTCACCGGGTGCCATGCGAGCTTAGGCCACCCACCAATGGGCTACCCCCTGACCCTGGTGATGGTGGGAGGTCCCGATGTATGATTCTCGATTTTAATGAAATTCACCTCGATTGAATGCCCGATTGTTGCCTCGATGTGTTTCTTTTCTTTCTCGATGTGAATGTGTCTTGTTGTGCGTATGAATGAGATTGATCTTGATATATTGTGCCTTATTGTGAATGCTTGAGACTAACCATGGTTTATGGTTATTTGTTCAGATCTCGATCTATTGAAGGCTGACTTGGGTGGAAGCGTCCATTCAAAGTGCCACGCGGGCTAGTGCTTGTTGAGGAAGCTTAGTCCGTGACACGTGGTATCAGAGCACGGTTGAGAAAGTGCTAGAGAATGGATGAGATGGCCACAAGTGGTGGACCGGATCATCAGCAGAGAATTGAGGAACTTGAGGCCGCGGTGGCCGCAATGAAAACTCATATGGTAACAAAAGATCGAGTGAGGGAGATCGAGACAACCCAGCGGGAGTTGTCCGATACTCTCCACAATGTGAGCGAAGAGGCTAGAGATGCCTTGAACATTCTCCACAAGGAGTTTGAGGAGCTCAGGGCCCAGATGAGCATCCTACAAATGGCGGTGGCCAGTTCGGGTTCAAGCTCGACGGACAGGGGACAAAGGCCCAAAGTGTAGGAGCCTCGGTGCTGAGGGGGCAAGGGATGCTAAGGAACTTGAGAATTTCCTGTTCGACATGGAACAATACTTCCGAGCTGTACACACAAGTTCAGAGGAAGACAAGGTGACAATGGCATCGATGTATCTCGTAGGGGATGCCAAGTTGTGGTGGCGCTCCAAGTTTGTCGATGACGAGTGCCCGATTAAGACCTGGACGGATCTGAAGCGTGAACTGAAAAACCAGTTTTTTCCGGAGAATGTGGATTATATGGCTCGAAGAGACTTCGAGAGTTGGTGCAAACCGGAACGGTGCGAGAGTTCGTGAGGAACTTTTCTACCCTGATGCTGGATATTAGGGACATGTCCGAAAAGGACAAGTTATTCCATTTTATTGAGGGCCTCAAGCCGTGGGCGAGGACAGAGCTACAGAGGCAAAGAGTGCAAGATGTGACGACGGCCATGGCTGCAGCGGAACGTCTTCATGATTTTAATGATGGTTCGTTAAAACGGAAGAACCCTCCACCAACTGGCGTAGTAGCTCTAATCTTGGGAGTGGGGGAAAGATAACTAGGTTGGACCGACCCTTCAGTTGGGGATCAGACAGGAGGTCCTTTGGGCGAGATAGCACCCAGCCTAGGACAAACAACGCAGGGATTTCAAGCCTAGGCAACCGCTTGCTTGCTTTCTTTGCAAGGGGCCGCATCGAGTGGCTGAGTGCCCGCACCGAGGAGCCCTTAATGCCTTAAGGACCTCATCCCAAGAGTCTGCAAAAGTGCCCGAGAGCGTTGAAGAAGCTGAAGAGGAGCCAGCCAGGATGGGCTCAATAAGGTTCCTCAGTGCCCTTCACACCCAATTGAACACTATAAAGAAAGAGCAAAGCAGAGGCTTGATGTACGTGAACTTGACGATCAATGGGAAAGCCACCAAGGCCATGGTGGATACAGGTGCAACCGACACTTTCATCACACCAGAAGAAGCAAAAAGGTGTGGTCTTCAGATTAGTAAAGACTGTGGGCGAATGAAGGCGGTCAATTCGCCAGCCTTTGCAATCAGTGGAAGCTCGAAAAGTGTGACAACCCAATTGGGGCCATGGGAAGGGAAGGTAGACTTCACAGTCTCCCCCATGGATGACTTTGATGTCGTTCTAGGATTGGACTTCATGACGTTGGCTCAGGTGATCCCTATCCCCGCTGCTAGCTGCTTGTTGTTCTTAGGAGAACACCCATGTGTGGTGCCAGCCAATATCTTGCCAAAGAGTGGGAAGAAAATGATTTCGGCTTTGCAATTCAAGAAAGGGGTAAAGAGAGGGGAACCCTCTTTTGTGGCCATGCCGATCTACAAAGAAGGGTCGAAAGTAGAACCAATACCCAATGGCGTGAAGAAAGTGTTAGAAGAATTCAGAGAGGTGATGCCAGAGATGTTGCCCAAGGTTCTACCCCCTCGACGAGCAGTGGACCACGAAATTGAGCTACTCCCAGGGGCAAAACCCCCTGCTAGAGCCCCTATCGCATGGCCCCGCCAGAGTTGGCCGAGCTGAGAAAACAGTTGGATGAGCTTCTACAAGCCGGGTTCATCCGACCATCAAAGGCTCCTTTCGGAGCGCCAGTGCTATTCCAGAAAAAGCATGATGGGAGCTTGCGCTTATGTGTCGACTACAGGGCTTTGAACAAAGTCACCGTAAGAAACAAATATCCTATCCCGCTCATAGCAGACTTGTTTGATCAATTGAGCGGGGCCAAGTACTTCTCCAAACTGGACCTGAGATCGGGATACCATCAGGTCAGAATCCTCGAGGGAGATGAGCCGAAGACCACTGTGTAACACGGTATGGTGCATTTGAATTCCTTGTTATGCCTTTTGGACTAACCAATGCTCCTGCCACATTTTGTACATTGATGAATCAGGTGTTTCATGACTACCTAGACAAGTTTGTAGTCATTTATTTAGACGATATAGTGGTGTATAGCTCCACGTTGGAAGAACATCAAGAACACCTGCGCCAGGTATTTCAAAGGTTACAGGACCACCAGTTATATGTAAAAAGGGAGAAGTGTGCATTCGCTCAGACCCAAATCCATTTTCTCGGTCACATTGTCGAACGTGGCCACATCCGAATGGACATGGAAAAAGTCAGGGCCATCAAAGAGTGGACGATACCGAAGAATGTTAGTGAGCTCCGCTCCTTTTTGGGACTAGCCAACTATTATAGAAGGTTTGTGGAAGGGTACTCTCGTAAGACCACGGCCCTCACGGAGCTACTGAAGAAGGAACATAAATGGTGTTGGACGAACGAGTGCCAGGAGGCCTTTGAGGGATTGAAGGATGCTATTATGAAGGATCCCATCTTAGCTCTCCCGATATTGGAAAGCCTTTTGAAGTCCAGACGGATGCATCAGATTTTGCTATTGGAGGTGTGCTTTTACAACAACATCACCCGGTAGCATTCGAAAGTAGGAAGCTGAGTGAAGCTGAAAGGAAATACACAGCCCAGGAGAAAGAGCTCCTTGCGGTGGTTCATTGCTTGAGGACTTGGCGGCATTACTTGTTGGGTGCGCACTTTGTCGTGAAGACAGACAACACAGCCGTTAGCCACTTCCTCACCCAACCAAGACTCACGGCGAAACAAGCTAGGTGGCAGGAATTTTTAGCTGAGTTCGACTTTTTTTTGAGCATACCGCGGGAAAGACTAATCAAGTGGCGGATGCCTTGAGCAGGCGGCCAGAGTTAGCGGCCCTCAGAAGAATGGCCCCAATGGTGGCTAGCAGAGCCACTACAGACATCCATAAGTTGATTGGAGATCATTTAGGGAAAGACCCGCAAGCCTGTGCCATTTTGAAGCTAGTGGAAGAAGGGAAGTCCAAACATTTCTGGAAAGAAAATGGGGTCTTGTGGACCAAGGGACCTCGAGTCTTTGTGCCAAGAGCAGGAGGTCTGAGACAGATGCTGATGAGGGAGTGTCATGACACCCCATGGGCGGGACATCCGGGCTGGCAGCGCACGTTGGCGTTATTGAAACAAGGATATTATTGGCCTCAAATGCGACAAGATGTGATGGAATATACGAAGACTTGCCTCATTTGCCAACAAGACAAAGTCGAGAAGAGGAAACCTGCAGGTATGCTTGAACCTTTATCGGTACCTACCAAACCGTGGGAAAGCATCTCCCTCGATTTCATCTCGAGCCTACCCAAGGTTGGCGATCTTGGAGCTATCTTGGTGGTGATTGATCGGTTCTCTAAGTATGCCACATTCATTCCTGCTCCCAAGTACTGTACAGCGGAGGACACAGCTCGACTATTGTTCAAACATGTGGTCAAGTATTGGGGCCTCCCCCAAAACATTGTCAGCGATAGAGATCCTAGATTCAGGGTCCTTTTGGAGAGAACTTTTCAAGATTTTGGGGTCCCAACTCAACATCTCCTCGAGCTATCACCCTCAAACTGATGGCCAAACAGAGCGGTTCAATGGATTGTTAGAGGAATACTTGAGGCATTTTGTCCACGCCAACCAAAAGAACTGGCCCTCATTATTGGACGTTGCTCAACTCTGTTTTAATTCCAACAAAAGCTCTTCCACAACAAGAGCCCATTTGAGGTGATCACCGGACAATTACCAAGGCTACCCCACACTTCCTTGGAACAATATGGAGGAAAGAATCCCAGAGCATTCAACCTCAGCAAGGAGTGGAAACAAAACACGGAGATCGCACAAGCCTACTTAGAGAAAGCGTCAAAACGGATGAAGAAATGGGCAGACAAGGGTCGTAGA